ATACAGTATTTTAGAATTAGTATTATAGTTTAAATTATTAATATTCACTTTTTCCGATGAAGGGCTGTGCGTGAAGAGGAAACTGAAAGTTTTCTCTGGGTACGATTTCGCTTCTCTTATTGAAGGACTGAGACAATAGTTTCGAGATAAACAGTAATCATAATCATATCGTTGTACGAGACAGCGAAAAGAAAACGTGACCGCAGTCGACGGCTGTCCGCACGGAACTGTGTTTAAAATGTTAAATATCTAATTTCATCTACATTTGAATTTAAAATAGCAATAAAAATACCTTTGTTTACGAGTATGTATTGTTTTAGAATTTTTAGTGACAGTACTTATGAGATACCTTTTTTAAATTTTCGATCCTTAGATATAAAAATTAAAAATGTAATAAATTTGTAACCACACAATAATTTTTCAAATGTCTGAGATTTTGACGAATTATGTCTAATTTTAAACGCTTATAAAATAAACCTTAAAACCCGTGCCCATGAACTTATGTTTTACATATTTTATAAACTGTTATTATGATAACTTATGAAAAATATTGTATAACATTTTCAAGATTTTTGACCCAACCAAAATATTTTGACTGACATATTTAAAAAAAAAAGATTAAAAAAAATTAAAGATTGCAAATGTCTAAAAATAGCTTACAAGTTACAACGAGGCAACATTTTATCATAAATAGAAAATGAAATAAATATTTGGTGAAAATGTACGGTTGAAAATTAAATGATGAACAGTTTCAGATGATTATAAAAAAATATTGTTAATTACGATCAACTTTTTTTTTATTTATCATTCACAAAAACTTATGATGAACTTTGTATTACATTTTCAAGTATATTGACAAACTAAAATTCTTATCAATAATAATTTTATCAATACTAATAAAAATCGAAATTATCTTATGCCTGTAAAATATAAATAGTTTTAAAAAATTCAAACATATTTTGAAAATAAATTTAATGGTATAGGTATAGAAATTAATAGTATAAACATCTAATGAAAATTTAAAGTATTCACTAATTTGTTATTAATGGTTATTCATTTGTTAATTAAACAAAAAAAAACAAAAAAACAATTTTGTCGAAAAATGGGTTTAGGCAAATATCTCTATTTTTCTTAATTTTTTTTGTTTTTCCCGAAAATTTCAGTACCGTGAATTTTAGAATTAGATTCACTTTTCTATCAGTAAAGATGTTGAAATTAGAAATCGAAGCATTATTTCTACTAGAAAAAATGTTTTAATAGAAAAAATTTTTTTTAAAAAAGCACACACCCCGTAGGCGGTAGGCCATAATAATTGTAAAATTAATACATTTATCGCTCAGCTCAGAATCTAAAATAATACTTTGTGATTTGTAATTCATAATTACATAACAAATTAATACACTGTGTATCTGAGTACCTACACATTTTAAGTGTACACTTTGTTTAAATAATCCGATAAATGCCAGGAACAATAATGCGCTCAGTGATATTAACAGTTAAGTTGTATTATATTTATAGTGAGTTAAGACGTGAATATTATGTAGATATAGAATTGTAGAGTTTGATTTTTGATATAATATACTGTAGCTGAAAAGGACATCATACTGTGTGACTCGTCCAACGCATTTTTTTTTTTTTGAATTTAGAAGAAACTATTTCAATAAAATAAATACAATCCGTCCAATCGTTTAATTTTGTATATTTCAGTAAAGTTAGTACTGTATAGACCGTAGAAGTAACTTTTTTTTAGTAGTATTTTCCAATTAACAATTATTGTTGTACTTATACACAAATATTTTTAATAATATAAAATAAAACGAGATCAATTATTAAAGAGAAATTGATGAGCAATTTTATATTATATAGATTAGCTAAATGTTATTTTTTAGTAAAATGTTTTATTTATACATATTATGTACCTATTTGGCTATTTAGAAGTGTTTATCTAAAGTTACACACAATATGTTGTTACAGCATTTTAAGAATCCTAACCGAAAGAAAAAAATCTTATTCATTCTTCATTAAAGAATTACAAAATATAATATCCTACACAATGAATATCATAATACCATACAGCATTGTAACATTATAGTCGAGTACGAGAAAAGTTTATAATTTCACAATCTTAATGAATAAAATATGTTTAATAATAATATACATACACTGTTTTGTTTTTTAATGTATAGCTTTAACATGGTTCTAAATGTTTATACTTATTGTAAGTATTAAATATTTATAATGAGAAAGATAAGGCACGAGTTCTAAAATGACGACTTATATTAGTCAGACAGACAATAAGACATGTCACATGTATAATCTTGGAATGTAAACAACATAATAATGAATGCATTCGATATCCTTATATGCTATTATAATATATAATAAAATGACGATTAATGGTAATTAATTTAATTAATTTTTCTAAAAATATGTACTTAATATCCAATTAATGTAATAAATAAAAATATAATGCATTTTGATTTATTAAGCATGGTAAAACTCTTCCAAAAAATGTACATCCCTACCGACCCACAATGCTCCACACCTATTTATACCACCCTCCTAACTTACTTCATTTCGAATTTAAGTGTTGTTTTGTATTTTTATAATAATTTTGAAATAAACACACTTTTCACTTTTAGTCAAAATAGTTTCATGGTTAAAGCATCTCACAGTCAAGCATTCTAGTCACGCAACGTCTTTGATAATAATCATTTAAAGTGTATACTACTATAATACTATATAATATAATATGAGAGTAGAGCAAACGAGGTGGAAATGTGTGGGGATATAAAATAATTTTACCATAGCTTCGTTTCCATAAACTAAGAATATATTTTAAATCCTTTTCGCGGGTCGTTCTTTCATTTTCTCACTATAAATACATAATCCATGGTGTTCCTGTTCCCAGTGGTCGAAGTGGCTCTAAATAAGTGAAGGGATGCCTTCTCATAGTACCCCCTCCCACTTCCATCACTACCTGTCCCACAATGTTGAACGAACAACTCACAAAATGATAGGTATTACGATTTTACGTATTTTATGTCTTCATGATATCGATTATAATATAAAGACTATTATGGCGATACGCGTTTAACTTTTACACTAATAGTTAATATACCAGTGTTTAAAATAAATATTGACGAGATGATACGTTCAAGGTTACGTACATAACTACCATGGGCGCAAATAGTTATTTCCATTTTGGAAATGTAAAAATGCCGGGCACTATACTCGTTTTACTACGTGTTTACTGCGGATGCAATATCCAAACAATTCCTTCGCGTTATTTCGTACTCACGATATTGTACCTAATGATCAATGATTAATCGTCGAGTTCAAACTCCACTCCACGCATCCATTACAAGCACAACGATAAAGTATACCCAAAAAGTCTAAAAATTGCAGGCAGAGCGAGTCGTTCGATTATTAACACTAATACACTTATCTGAATTCGTGTCGACCGTCGACGATAATTATTATAGTCAATAGTCGTGAGCGCGATAAGTTTAGTAGCCATTGTGTTTTTGTGTACACCATAATATCATGTATAGCCACCGTATTGTTATTTGTTGTAGTCAGTACGACTGAACATTACCAACTAGTGACAACTGACGGACCCATAATTGCTGCAGGAGCATTCTAGTTATACACTTATACTGACCACGAAGTTTTGTTAGGTAATTTTTTAAAAAAAATATTTTTTATTGTTTTATGCATTTCAATAGCCATGTCTTACGTATTCAAGGAATCGAAGCCATAATATCAGCATGTTGTTGTTACCAGCCATATACTTGTTGTTGGGCATTAACGTTTTGAACGCTTCAAACGAAAATGATACGAAAAAACAAAATGTCACTATTTCACTGCATTCCCACAAAAACAGTAAGTAATACTAATAATTAGGGCAAGGATTTATATGCAATAACAAATTGTTATTATTTCTAGATATATATTTGTATCATTGTTCATAATTTATTATTATTACATTAAATATAAGTTTATATAATTACATTAAATATTAGTTTATATTATTACACTCAACTATGATGTGTTGTTTCAAAATTCAAATACGAACGACCGGCGATTTGAACGTAGAATAGATTTTTATACTGAATAAAACTCCTTTCCACATCACACGAGGTTATTGGGGCATATTTGAATGACGCAATTTTCCCTGGAGTTAGATTAATATTAATATCTTCTTGACTTCTTCTTCATTTTAATATTCACCTTTTATAATTCTAAGAATTTTTAAAAATTTTTAAATGATGGATGATTTAACTCCCATAAAGGTATATCTGATTCTAACATTGCTTGACATAAATCTATAGAGGAAAATTCGCTTGCTTATTTTGGTTTTCTGATGTATTTTTAATGAACGACTGTTTAGATTTGGCTTTCAAATTTATATTTTTGTTATGTTCACCTGTATTTAAATGCTGTACCACCTGAAAACGTTTTCCTACGGGCACAGCTTGATCGCAAATAATATAATATAATATTTTACCATCTGTTTTAAAAACGTCACTTGAAAATTCTTCAACAAATTTACGTAACTTGGCACTTTCACTTTGAACTTTCGGCATTTTATAAAATTGTTAACTGATACTGTTATTAAAACCACTCAAATTTTTAAGTATAAGTGTCCGCACATTTACGCAACACACACACACACACACACACGTCGTACTAATGAAATTAAATACGTCGTTAAACAATGTGAAGGTAATCCTACCGGTCTTCCGACCAAGATGTGATAAGATAAGATATTTATACTATATATTTACAATTCGACGGATAAACCAAAAACTATAGGTATTATGAAATAAACACCATTTAAAATTAACAATAATTTATAAAAATTTAAAAATTTAAGTTAAATAAAATAAAAAACTCAAAAATCTATAAATATGCAATTATATGCATTGTGTTCAAAATATGCAAAAAAAAAATTGATTCTATTTAAATGAGAATAAGCCAAATCGTGGAAAAATCTGACAACCAATCAATTTGGACTTAAGGAAAAAAACATACAAATGTATATAAATCCTAACCCTACTTATAATGAATACAGCAATCAAATTTAGTATAATATTTTAATAAAATAAAAATGTATAACTTTTATTAGGTTCATTAGATTTCTAGTTGATAAGTTGATTCAATTGTTTTTTCCTAATAAGATTTAAAATGTGGAACTTATAACTTATAACCTAACCTAACTAATGCTATTAATTTAAATATATAGTTCAAGTGATGCGCTTAAATATAATACATACATACATATGTTTGTATCATTATGTATATATATATATAACCTAATCTACATATGTTTGTATATATATACAGGGTGATCCAACAAATATGCTTACTCCCCTTTTTTTAATAATGAAGTTTTTCAAAATCTGATTTATGGAATCTTTAAATATACTCAAAGACCATATTTTCATATTCTTGAGATTTTTTGTACCACTTAAGGAGTGTCCTGTGGTGATACAATTTTTTGTTTTTCAAATGGGAACCTCTCTTTTTTACTGTAATTTATTTAGCGGATCATTTTTTTGAGATTTTTGATGTATTGAAATCAATATTCGAACGAGTAGTTTTCTAGTTATTACACATTTTGTGCTAAGGATAATAATTTAGTTTATTATAGGGAAGAATGATATGCTTATACGGTATACGTTATAATCTAAAGTCTATACACATAATATAAAATAATTCGTCATTTCATATTTATTTAGTCAAACACTTAGGTAAATAGCAAGTAAAATCCTTCTTGATTTATTTAGTTATTTTTCTTATTCCGTGTGTAGAACTTTATAAGCATATCCCTATTATGGACTTTTATCCATAGTACAAATTGTCCAATAACTAGGAAACCACTCGTTCGAATTTTGATTTAGATACATCAAAATTCTCAAGAAAATTATCCACTAAATAATTTAAAGAAAAAAATTGGGGTTCTCATTTGAAAAACAAAGATTCATATCGGCACAGGACACTCCTTAAGTGGCACCAAAAATTTCAAGAATATGAAAATATGGTCTTTAGGTATATTTAAAGACTCCAAAAATCAAATTTTAAAAAACTTCATTATTAAAAATAGGGGGGTGAGCATACTTGTTGGATCACTCTGTATATATAGCCTATATATATATTACCAGCAATGAATATAATATTTGAATATTATACAAAATACGTTTAAGAATTCCAAACAATTTTAAATTGAGCATTAACTTGAAATCTATTTAAATGGTTTGTGGAAAATTGCAAAAATAATTAATAAGCTATTCAAACTTTAAAAAAATATCCTTATTCAAGTTTTTATATTTTGGGATTACTTGGGCACCTCAAAATTTGGGGTCCTGGTTTATGCCTTTACAGACTCCCCTAAAATGTAGCCCTATTTAGGTATGATGTTGAATTAACAATTAAAAACTAGTACAAATGTTTAAAAAATGTGTGAAAAAAAGTCAATATGTATACGAATTACTTTTTAACTTGTTTCTTATTGGCAGGGTTCTATTTTAAGTACTTAAAAACAGTAATAGATGTATTAAAATATACCGAAATATCCTATACTATTAACATATAAAAATTAAATAAGAAATCAACGATATACCTATGGCATTTCAATTTTAGAATACAACTTGACTAATAATTTTCTATGCATCTGGTATAAAACATATCATCATAATTTTACCAGGGCACTATGCCATAATATTCAAAGATTTGTATTAAGAAAATTAAATCTAAAAATTGATAGAAATTTCAATTATTCCAAATTCTAAAATCGAAGATTTTAAAGGACAAATCATTTAGACTGTTTGTTCTTGAGCTATTAAAAAGAAAAGTATTTTTAAAAATAATAAAAATTATAGATATTAAGACAAAAACAAAAAAAATAATCTAACGTCGAGTATACGCACGAAAACACAGATGTTATTGCTCGTAAACTAATAATGATTTAGCACACAAATAAAATCGTTGTAGTCTCTCACTAGACTATAATGAAAAAGATAAGACACGTGTACCTACTTATATTATTTTGTTACTTCACCATCAAACTTTACTAATTAAAAATACCAACAGTTGATGTAACGTGTTATTTCCAAGTGATTATCAAATTGCAAATACAGCTTGCCTTAGTCGAAGTAACATAATACCGATAAAATAACATGAACAAATTAATTTTTTGATGGAAATGTGAAAAAAAATCATCTTAGAAAAAAAAAGATCTTATATTATGTAATTCACAAAAATTCTTTGTCAGAAAATTTTGATTTCTGATCAACTTTGATATAATTATTGTTATACTACTATTACACCTTAGATCAGATACTATAACATCATATGATCTTAAAATTTTAAGCACTAATAAGGGGAGGGGGCTGAAGCTTATCAAATTGAGTGCACCACTGCCCTGGTTTTATCTCTGCCATCATAAAATGTATTGTCATTGCTAATTTACCCAATAAACTATACAGCTGTAATGTTTACATTAATTAATAATGTATATGTGTCTTTGTACCTACATATTCAAAATTAAGTTGTTTCGTGGCATATGATGTACTTGTAAACGGCGTATCATGTATCTAACTCGTATATATTATATAAATACATGTCAAACAAAATAAATTTAGGAGTTATTAGAAAAATGTATCGTATTAGTTGTATACGTGAAATAAAGATTTAGAACAGATGTCCAGCTAACCGCGATCATATAATATGCAATAATTAATGTCGAATGATGTACCATACACATGAAGTGGATCAGAGTTTAATTCCTATATTATAATAATTCAATATCAATAAGACTGATCTCAAAAAATTCCGCATAAGCTAATTATTAAGGAACTTTAAAAAAGTGCCAGTATTAAATTTCCAATAAATTCAATAAATTGTCATTGGAAACTATTGAGCAATTTTATTGTACGCAGCTAAAATATTATATTCACCGAAACAAGAACGATAACAAATAAGCTCAATAGCTTTCTTCTACTTGATAATCTTTAACTGTAGGTGACGATATTTAAGTGAACAGTTAATCATATGTACATATATTATATTATATCTTCAAGTGTAATAAATAATAATATAACACATAGCAAAATATGTAAAATTACATAACACAGTTTTAAAGTACATTGATTTGTTGTATGTTATTATTTTAGATTGCTTTGATGATCATGATATTACTACAATTTATAGACTTGGAGCCATAGATTCATCGACTGGGTGTGCAACAAAACAAATAGGCAATCTCATAACATATTATCGTGAGTTATTTTAAATCATTGTAAACTATTATTTTGTTCAGTGTTTACAGAGATCGCACTTAAAATAATATTTGTAAAATGTTCATAATTAAGCGTGTATAGAATGCGATAAAATATCAATTAGCTTAACATTATGGTCAGATATTGACTCAAATACCAATGACCATATCAAATATCAACGATGAGCCGATACAAAATGTCATCTTCTATTTCTAATGAAACTACATTATTGATCTGCGGGTTAAGACCCTAATAAAAATGATACGACCTAAGTACCCACAAGACGTCTGCGTAACGTTTCCTCTCTCTAACACCCCAACACTCATACAGTCATACTTGCAGCGACAGAGCTCGAGTCGTGAGATTTTTTAATTAACTCTGCCTATAAGTGATGTACAATATTCTCATGTCTATACTCAATTATATATCACTGAACGGGTTTAATCTCATAAAATGATTTGAACTTCCACTATTTGTAAAATATAATACTTAAATCAATATACTAATTTCAGTAGAATATCCTCTCTGTGTTATGCCTTCTTTTTTGGATGCACCCGAGGGAGTTCCTGGACGGCAGTGTTGGACACGGTTATTAGCATTCCACTCTTGTCTTACACTGACTCTACTCAGGTTCTTCGTGGCCATCATTAAAAATACACCCTGAACAATTCCACGCACGGTATTTAATTCATTATTATATGTTCTTATATTAGGTAGATTAGAAAATTTAACTACAACAAACTATTTGATTGCAAGATGGTTCAAATGGCAAAAGAGAAAGGGAAACGGGACAATTTTGCCACATTTTAGGACAAAATCTTTTAGGCCCCCTAAAAAATTCTTGATAGACTTATCCGTTAATTATATAATAATACATATAGGCACCTACTGTTTAGATTTTAGAGTCACACAACTACTATTTATAGTTTGCAAAGTATTATTACTTTAGTACTGAAGATTATAAGTATAACATTGACATCGGTATCATGAGTTTGAATTATCTTCGTCGGTCAAATCTGCCAACATTTTTCAAATCTTTGTGACTTATTTTATTTTATCATATTGTGTATGATGATTTAGGGGCCCCCACATTAAATTGTCCCTGGGCTCTAAGAAGTTGGGTACGTCTCTGTTCGGTTGAAATACATTCAAGAACAAATGCCATTGGAATACCGTTGTCGATAGACAAAATTATTTATGACAACAATAATTCAACATCGAATGATGTCTTGCAAATAAATTTTGCTGAGTTTTATAAATACGGATTTATTCAAAATAATAGTCGTATGAACGTTTATTTTGATTCAAATTACTGGAAACAATCAACAATTGGATCTATGGGTAATATATATTGTTTATTTAAATTTTAAATATTTTTAATGAAGAATATAATACCAATTGTATTAAAACATGGCATTATTAATCGTGTATAATTTTAATAGGAGAAGAATGCAACTTAGACTCTGGTACTCCCAGTACTTATACTACGAATTATACAGGTAATATTAACTAGAAAATGTTTAATAATTAATAATTTTAAAGTCAAGGTATAATATCATTTGTTATCAAAAAAAAAAATAGTTTTAATAATTATAACTACCTAGTCCTTAAGTTAATTCATTAATGTAAAATAGATGAATCCAGTACTTGTATCTTTTCGTTTCCCGTATATTTATTTCCTATATTATATTAAGCAATTTAAAACACCGATTTAGAATTTTCAAACCATTGCAGAACACGATGCTGGTTAATTAATTGTATGTTTAGGCAACTTAATACATTCAAAAAAAATATATAGTGACAAGTTTACACACATAAAAATAATCTACATCTAAAAGTAATATATAATGATAGTATTTTTAGTAATTTGAAATTTAAATTCAAAAAATCTTATTTTAAATTCTGAGTGGAGTGATTAATGTATTGATTTCACAATAATGTGATAATGTGAATTTTTTTGTCTGTATAAACAAAAATTAGTAGAAAAACATGCTTTGATTTTCAACTTAAAGGATGGTTTCTGGTAGAAAATTGGGTCTAGTTGGTACTTAAGAGGTCAAAATTGAAAATATCTAATATTTTTCATAAAAATCGAGGGGGGGGAACTGGGATCGGGAATTACTAATGTAAAAATATAATTACTAATTACTTAGTAAAAATACTTTAAATGCATAGGTACGAGATTTTGGTGTTTTTTGACAAGTATTTGAAGTTGAGTTTTTGACAAAATAAGATATTTAAACAAAGAATAACGATTTGAGTTATTTTGTTTTATTTTAGTTTATTTGTGGACTCATGAGTACATGAAGTATAATTTTAAAGTCTATTATTATATAATTTTGATTGTGTCTGGTCTGGAAACATTTTTTATAGAAGAAAAAATCAAAAGAAATTGGGCCTACATTTTATATTTAATCGAAGCATAACAATTTGAGTTATTTCTTTGTAATTTAACTATATTATTTGTGGCCCGTCGTGGGTACTTGACATTTTTGACGTATATTATATTTTATACACACAATGACAATTTCAATTTCAAATGAAATGTTTTATTTTCAGAATACAACTTAAATGAATGTATTAAAACATTAGAATATGAAAGCCATTTTTATCCATACTACAGAAGTGATAATATTCATCAGACATTTCTAACGGTTCATTGGAAGCCAATTAAAAAACAAAGTTGCATATCAATTACATATTTTCATAATTTAGATTCCGATATGGAAATCATTATGAGTATATTCAATGAAAATGATACGATAATAAATTCACCAATATTAGAAAAACATGTAAGTACAGTTTTGTTTAGTATTAAAAATGCAGAAAAATAAGTAATTTTGATTTTATTAGCCAAAATTTAGTTGGTAATAAATTAATATTAAAACATATTATAAATATTGAGTAACTATTATGACTATTATGATTTCAGATCAGAAATTAAATTTAATAATTGCAATCACGTAACAATTTTTAATATCTAATGGAAACGATGATATTTGTACATATTATTATTATTTGTTTGGCTTACAGGATAGCTTAACAACATTAAAAGTTGACAATATGGCTCTTATTCAAGATCAGAATTATAAAATATCATTAAAAAGGAAATATGGTAATAGACATAACTATCACGGATATAATAGTAATTTCGTAAACTGGTTCAAACTCTTTCGGATTACTCAATGTCCAGATAATGGTATTTATTTGAAAGCTAATACAAAAATAATATATTACTATTATGAATAATAAATTATTTAGGTACTTAAAGATTATGTAGATATAATTTATGTCAAAAACATTGTAAATATAACCATAAAATATAACAAATACACAATGTTTAATATTCTATACATGACATTAAACAATAACTTAAAAGACCAACCAGATATGAATAAATGTATAAGTTAAATAACAAACTTAAACTATTGACGAGCTAAATACAGTTTGACACAGCATAAGTTCAAAACAGAAAATACTTTACTTTAGTAAAAATTATATAATTGTTCTACACAAATTAGTAAGCTCCATATATTGGCAGACTTTGAAGGGGGAGGACTCTGGGGGCTCGGTAACCCTAGAAATATCAAATAGTTCAGCAAAAAAAAATAAAACTGTATGTACATCCGAGAACCATGTAAATAATAATGTATCTACTTCTAATGATGATCGCCTCTCAAAATTTAAAATTTAACCAAATGTCTGCCTATGATCTTATAAATGATATGCATATAATTTATGTGAATAAGTTAAATTAATTTTTGGTATTCGCTCTTAGATGAAGAAGAAGTCAGAGTTCTTTCTATGAATAATACTGATAATTATTGGTGTAAGTCACTTGAACTCTCCAATGTACTCGGAAATGGTAAGAATACAAAACAAAACACATACATTTAAAAAAAATTGAGACTCAGGGTTAAAAAAAACCACTTGAGAGGTGTGTTTTATATTTATTAATACTTCAGGCAGCAAGTTGTTCATTAGGTTTTAAAAATGATCTTGGTAAATTATAAATTGGAAATACCTGGGCACCCTACGTGGTATTTCAAAAAAGTACTTTTTTTCAAATTGTTCATCAGTTATAGTGACAATGTTGTAAAAACTGCGAAATACACAGTACAAGATAAATTGTAAGCAATAAGCATATATCCATTTTTATTGGTTATAAATTAATTTTGTAAGCCGTGCTTTGCTAGAATCAATTCAGAATTCAACATTTGGTCATTTAGCTTTAACATTTATAAACATCAACTCAACTGTTCAAATTTCCAAATAAATTCGTTCAATGTTATGAATATTACCTATTTAAATACAATTAAATATCATATTATTTAGTTTTACATTATTTTAGCCGGTGTATTATAACATTTCAATTTTATTACCTAATGAACTATATATAGCATACGTTTATTTTATTTGTTGTATATACATTTTATAATTTCACTTTGTAAATATATTTAACCATTATGTTATTCTTAATTTTTTTTTAAATTTAATAAAGATAATACTAGTGTCTGCGACAAAATGACAACATCCTCAACTAAATCTTGTTTAAACGGAGGTTTCATGGTATCAACAAGATCAACGTGCGTTTGCCCTCCCGGATTTAAAGGAGAATTTTGTGAAATAGGTAATTCAACTTCTGCCGAAGTTACTTTTTAAAGTTGAGAACAATTTACTTTTACTTAAAAATGATGATACGATAATATGAGAATACATTAATATAGGAATGTGATAGAAAATAAGTTGGATTATTCTTTGTGCTATGTAAAAATAATATAATAAGTATTATATATTATGCAAGTTAAATACCTAAAAGATATTAGGTACGTAGTTCAAAAATGTCTAACAAGTAACAACAATTTTACAATTATTAATATGTATCTAATTACAATACCTAATATGAGAATTAAGAATATATTAAAATTGTATAATGCACGTTGGAAATATATGTAGTATTATACTATTATATAAATAGTAAATTTTACAATTAATATTTTTTATAATTTAATCATTTAGAAAACAATATTGAAAAAAAAAATTTTCTAAGTAATTAGGACTCCAAAACCGTAATGTGAATATTCTTTGTTGTTAATTTGAAATGTTTATGTTCACTACCAATAAACAGTTTTAATTATTTATTGATTCAATCTGCTTTTGAGAACTTTTTGATCATTAACATGAAGATAAAAATTAAGAAATAAAATATATTCCAGGATGTGGATCTAATTATTATGGAGCCGATTGTAAAGGTGTATGTTCAATGCATACCGATAAAATGTGTCGCGGATTGTTGATGTGTACGAAATTGTATGGCTGTACATGTCCACCAGGTCTGACCGGTCCATTGTGTAACATAGGTTTGAAGAATATTATTTATTCATAATTTGTTTCCATAAATGAAATGTAATATGTTACATTTTTTTATAGATTGTACACGGGGTACATATGGTGCTGATTGTAAACAAACATGTTCATCGAAATGTCGTAACAATAAATGTGACCAATATACTGGCGTCTGTTATCAAGGATGCTCAGAAGGATATTTGCCACCGTATTGTCTACAAAGTAAGATGCAACGCACGAGATAAAAATAAAAATTATAAATATCACGGTTAAAATTTGTTATTATGTTTTCACAAACATATCAGAACAGAATATTAGTTCTTAATTCCGAGGTCATAAACGCATAACACCTTATATATTTTTTTTTAATGGATGTTCAATTACTATACTCGAAAATTGAACTTTTAACTAAAAATACTTAATACTGTTTCTGTATTTCACTAATTCGACCGTTTAATCTAAGATATCTACATTCTACATAATACGACATATTATACAATTATTTTTTTCAAATTACATCATCTAATATTATTTTCTTAAATCTAAATATTGTATGTTTTAATATATTTTATAACAGTAATAATTTCTCAATAGAAGCAAGACCAAGTAAAATGAAAGAGAAAGACTAATGAAACACCGAAATCTTAAAATTTAGTGGATTTTGTGGATGTATAATACTGTAGTGTATTTATCTATAGTAATAATAATTTAATATTCTAATTTGTTTCACATTTTAGAATATCCATACCTCATTAGTCCACCTACACTACTTTCGGACAAATACGAAGCGATAGAGATGGAAATTAATTTCAAACCGGATAATGTAAAAGGAGGAGATAAAAATATTAAGTTAAAATATTATCAAATATTTTATAAAGTAGGTTACATTTTTTTTTTTTTTGGAAACTATTTAGTCTAAATTGATTTACATTCAATAAATACTACTTTAGAGTACCAGATATGAGTATCTAAATATTTATGATAGTATACAGCGTTATAACAAAAATAAATACTATAGGTATTTCAATCTATATTTGATTTTTCTTATAATGTTCTAATAATACAGATATTTTACTTAAGTGTTAAGATATTCTATAGTTATATGACGTTTAATTCAATGAATCCTGCCACACATTTAAAACAATTTATCATAAAAATAACTATACGAAAACCTATGAAGTACTTATTAATAATTAAAGATCAGATAAAATTCGAGTAAATTCGAATCATATACCTAATACTTACTCTCCTATTGATACAATCAAATGCTACGCGATTCACAACAGACATTTTATAATGATATCATAATGAATTATATGGGATAACAATAATTCAGGATAATAAATGTAATAGTTTGACTGTTTGAGCAATGAGCAATACGTTTGTCTAGTACCTACATACCCATAAAGTTAACTCAAATATGTGAAATATTATAAACTATAATTTATGATTTTAGTCAATAATTGAAAAGGAATTTACAAAATCTGAAATCAAACTTATAAATGAAACTAGTACCACAGACATTCTACATGATTTAGAAGCAGATACCACATATACAATTGGTGTTATGGTTATAACAAGTGATGGTAATTTCAATCGTGAAGATATAGTTTTTAATCAATATAAGACATCGTGTATCCGTAAGTATTTCGGACCAATTATTGAACCAAAAATATCTTTAAAAAAATTAAGAAAACCTAATATTCCTTACGATATTTATATTATTGACATAAATCAAATTTAAAAAAAATGAATCTGTAGCAATTTTTTAATATTTATAATTACACACTTGAAACAAAATAATATTTTTAAATTTATAATAGTTTTTAAATATACCTAGGATGTTTCGAAAAAGTTACAAATGGATCAAATTCATATTTGTTCTTTGTAACGATTATGTCCATTTTAATTTCAATATTAAATACATAACTATTTTAATTTATAACTTATCATAATCTCATGTACTATAATAATGGACTTAAAAAATAATTTATCTAGTTTTATATACTACATTTATTGAGTAAAGATTACATGCATAATAATTATGACATTAACGATCACGAAATCTATAGATTTTAAATTAGATATTTTTATTTTAAAATAATACTACAAAAAAATCTGGTTAGATTATTATAAATCATAAAACCATCAATAATATCTAAATAGTAAATACCTATATATTTTTATTATGTTATTTAAAGTTACTATTTTTTTTATTTGTTAATATTGTTCAACTTTTTTTAGAACCCAATATTACTGACTATAACATTCAGTTAATCAGTGGGATAAATAGCGTCAACATACGATGGGATAAAGTAAATACACTTGTTATTAATATTAATTTATTGAAATATTAATTTTTAATATGTATAAGTAGGCATGTAATTTAAAAATCAAAACATCATTGTTTATTAATTAACAGTTTTATTATAATGATCAAGTAACATAATGCGTTTACAGATACATCTTAACCGATTAGAATGCAATATAATTGAATATATGTTGACATTAACTTTTAACCAATCAAAAAATCAAGTGACTGGTATTGAAGAAATAAAATCAAGTTCCAATAGTGGCCATTCAATAGAAGATCTTTATCCTGGATACAATTATAGTATATTCCTGACTCCTAAGACTAATAGAGGACTATTAATTTCGTCACCTACTTATTCATTTACTCCTCTCATAACAAGTAACTTATTGTTTTTTATTAACCTATATGGGCACATATGCAGGAGAGTTTTGGTGTTCACGCCCTTCCACTCTGTCCCCCACAAAAATTTTGCAAAAAATATCAATTTTTTCAACATGACAGTATAAGACTAATTGAAATACATTGTTCACTTATGAACAACCACCAGAATTTTTTCTGTATTCGTGCCTGAAGCTATCAAATATCGATACAATATTATATTTTAAATATAGGAAACGACGTCATTATAAAAGATTTAGTTGCAACTTCGATTGATAATACAATTAAAATCTCCTGGAAATTAGAAAATGCTAACCAACAAGATACAATAGTTGTAAATGAACCTTTTACATATGTTGTCAGATACAAAGTAATTGAAATTGTTTTTCTTACTATATGTACCTTTATATACATATATTAATCTGTAGATTTTACTAGAACATTTATTTCAAATTTATTTCAGCTACAACGAATCCTCAGTTGTTCTTTGGAAAAATTAGAAAACAATTGGACCTCAATAAAAATTTTCAATCGAACGAACTACGAAATATTTGACACGATACCTAATTCACAGTACTGTATACAAGTTACAGTTGCTAATGATGAGGAAAATACTCAACGAGAAACCCAGATTTACGCATTAACACCAGCATCAAGTAAAGTTGTATGAAACCTATTTTATATTCATATTTTGATGACTGATTTCTGCATGTTTCCGATTAGGTCCAAAAACTGAACCTATTTTTGACCTTGAACACCCAATGTATGTGACGAATGACTCGGTATTTCTTCAGTGGAAAATCGATCCCATTAATTGTTCAAAGTTAAATGGATTCTTATCAACGTTTTACATTGAATTAAAGGTAAATTTTGGAGCTAAACATTTTATCATTTCTTTGGACAATTAAAAAATACATCAATTTTCCTTAAAGGATAAGGGAAGTGACACATTAGAAATATTAGAAACGAAAACAAACTCCATTAACATCAAAAAGCTGAAATCAAATAATTATTATGAAGTAAAAGTGTTTATAAAAACACACATCGGTTATAATCTTGAACATTATCTGTTCACCAATTTTACAACTAAATCAAGATGTGAGTGCATTATTTTAATGAACTATTTATTATTATTTATTTGCATAAATACCAATAAATATTTGTTTTTATGCATACGCAGATTTAGAACCAGTTTCTGACTTAGTAGCTTATAAAAAAAGTCTTAAATATCAATTGGTAGGCCTTCGTTGGTATTATTCAGAAGATGCAAATTTAGATGGATTTATAGTTTCAATTAACGAAGACGCTTTTGGAAACGCAAACAATATTTCAGTGATTTCCCCAACGAAATGTTCCGCTTGGCCAGAATACTATTGTCATACTTATCATAATTTGAGCCCTATAAACAACTTCACGTTTAAAGTACGTATTGTTTCACGATATACAATATTTAATAATTATCTACCTAATTAAATCAATTGGTTATTAAAATAATCATGAAATTGTATTTTGTATTAGATAAAACCAAAGTCGTTCGATTATCCTGAAGGTGGTCACGAGTCGTCAATTTCATTTAACTTAGACGATGAATGTAAGTCAGATAAATGGTTCAAGCAAATCTAACCATTTTGCATTTTAATATTTTATAATAGTGGACTTATTAAATGTTCTGTTTAGTGCCAGACTCTCCAAAGAATTTAAAAATTATTGACATTGGAAATACTTTTATGACTCTTCAGTGGGATATTCCATGGATATTTAATGGTGTATTAAAAATGTATATTATTAACGTAGAAGAAATATCATATAAAGATATGAAATTGTATTCTGGCATTGGAACAATAGAATTGCCAATTTATGAAGAATTGCCTTCTTATAATTATACGGTAATTTATTTAAACTTGAAACTTGGCATCTTAATAATTATATTAGATATTAAGAATTCTACTAATAAATTAAAATTCATTTAATCTCACCTGTAAGCTGTGCCTAGTTGCCATTCGTGTATTACACCCATCAAAATTACAAAATCTTACCAAGTTATTTTTATAGTTTCTTAAAAAATGGACTTTTAACAGCTTATTGTATCCCTTATTGGCATTGCTTCACTCAATACCTATAGGCTTATCCAGCATTCCCTTATTGATTACACTTTTGTATGTTCTTTTACTTAGCCCATAAAATAATACCAAATTTAAAAAAGACCATTATACCTACATCGGAGAAGTGAATCTATCAAATAATAATAAATAAATAATCGGAAAATTAACTTGATGAACTATTTAAATTTTTTAGTGGATTCCTATCAACTAGGCAAATTAGTTCCATCTGAAAACTAGTAGGTTATTAAAAACCGATAAATTAATTGCCGTATTCAGAATATATATATATAGGTATATATTATTATGGTGATTTTTTAACACTTAATTGGAACGACTCGTGTCCATACTATCATCCATAAATCAATTAAATCAATCCAATATTTTACAGGTCAAAAATCTAAATCCTGAATCGACCTATTCAATTGGAATATTATCCGTATCTACGTCACTATGGTATAGTTTTCCGATCAAAATTCAAGCAAAAACACTTTCAGACGCTTAATTATTATTAACATAATCGATGTTTATTTTGTTAAATCATAATATTTTTTATTATTTTTAATTGTTATTTAACTAACACAATCATACTGATATGTTGCATTTTATATTACATTATTACGTGCTTTTCTAGCCATATTATTATTTATACATCATATTTTGTACGTTCATACTAATTTACAATTTGGCATGAAGTCGTTTAAGTGTTTAAATCAGCAGTAAAACATTATACTGAAACTTGTGAGACTTATTTAATCAGAGTCAGTATGTTTTTTTTTCTTACTATGTTATTTAATGGACAACTCTGAGTGGTTTAAATGTCATCAGTATAAACTATAAATATTTAATAGAGTTGAATAAATCGATTTACAAACCTTATTATTATTTATTGTAAATTTGAAAACTACGAAGACGCTCAATACACTCGAAAAACCACTGTTTTAAACAACAGTGTTCACTATAAAATATATAGTGGCCTAGTCTCTCAAGTACAAACAGTAAAACTTGAGGGTTTTAACTGTTGTAAGTTATTAATTCCGATTTAATTAATATCACGCCCGTACAGGTTATATAATATTGTACAATGTACATACCACATCATATCCTATATGTAGGGTTTAGAGTGGCACATGCACCACATTTAATTAATTACATTTGTTACTCTTTCATCGTGTAAAATATGTAAATCAATTAACTCAAGACTTACAGTAAAGTTGATATTCAATAGTTTTATTGAGTAGAAATATCACAATCTCAAATTAATATTCTAGTATGACGTGGATGTTGTGCTTGTTAAGTTTGCTCTAGAATACTCAATAAAAAATGTTTGACTTTTTTTTAATTGTTGATATACCTAATACGTATTCTAGTTCCCCATAGCCGAGGAGAGAGATCACTTGAAGTTAAACCTAAATAAATTAAGCTTACATTACTACATACAGCAACAAAAAGGTTCTCCTCGTCCGGCTCCACATAGTGCGACGCCGTTTAGGATGGATGGGATCGCCCACCAACTTCTGACTAGAGGCGTCACTTTTTTTTTAAACAGCATACGTAGGGATTGGTTGATTTACATATAGAAACATAAATGTCTGAAAAAACTTTGCAAAATACGTAATGAAAAATTAATGTCACTTGAAAACAGTCAAAGCAAAATTGGACGGTTGTTGTGTAAAGGGGATGAAGTCAAAAATACCAATTTCTCAATAGACTAAAAAAATGTTTCATCTTCTATATCTAAGAAAAAAAATTTTAAACTTTTAATTTTATCTGTAACTTTGTTAAAACTGTAAGATTATGTAAAAAAATACTTTAAAACCATTTTTTAGATATTTCTGTCGACTGGATACCAATAGCACAAACGTTAATTATATTTTACGACTTGATACCTTCTGCACATAAGGGTATCAACTATCAATTCATTATTATGCAATAACATTAGTGCTATTGGTATCTAGTCAACAAAAATCAATTTAGAATTAATAATTTATTTTTTTATAATCTACTTGTTTATTACACATAAATTATTTTGTAATATATTATAGTTTGCATAAAACAAATAACTAATTATAGACTATAGCATAATATTAAAATAGTTTAAGTTCTCTGAAAAGTAACTGAAACAATACAAAATATTTAAATAATATGTACAATATACATATTATATTAAAAATAGAATTGAATACCAACAGGTAAAAAGTATTGTATAGATACTACTGTTGATCATAATTTTATTTATCTTATAAAGTTTAAAAGAATAATTAAGAATAATGAATTATATTTTTAATTGATATTGGGTTTTAATAAAATCATTAGATCTTTTGGATATAATCTAAATATCAATAACATTTTAAACAATATACAATTTTAAAAAATAAATACTAGTTGTAACAAAATAAATAGTAACTTATAACATGAAGAATAATCACTTTGATTATATAAAACAAAATTTTATAATAAGATAAAAATAAAAACAAATTGTATAGTTTTATCATTAATTTTCTTCGTCTGATACTATAGGATCAATATGATTTTTGGTCGATTTTAAGCTTTTATAAAAATGGTGGAATGTTTTTGGTATAAATTCTATCAATGTCATACGGTTCTTTTTATCCATCAGTTATGCATAACTTATCATTGTATTTGTAATGTCCATTGAAGGTGAATACTTTCTGTTTAAGTTCAATTTATGGAATGTGCATTTAAATCAAGAGAAGTTTTATAATCACCTATTTTGTTGTTAATGTACCGAATCCACTTAGCATTTGGAAAAACAAATTTTTTTTTAATTTTCTTTGGTTTTTTTCATTTCATAAGATTTTTTCAATAATTTGTTGAAGTCAAAAAACATTTCTTGTCCCACTTCTACTACCAACAATTTATTTTTTCCTGCAAATCTAATTTATTTCATCCAATCATATGGATGATTAATAAATGAAGGAAAAGGTTTATAAGCTTTTTCAATTTGGGAGTGATCCGAGTCATGCTCCATTCTTGAGTGGCCTGGTACCGTAAATGTATGATTAATTGTTGCAATAGTTTTCCTGTTGATCCAGAAAAAACAGACACATGGCCATGAGGATACTGTTTTTATTTTTCCCAGGGCAGCACAATTGCAGTGCATAGTTAAGTTATGGGTCCACAATTGGCGTCCATAAAATGCAACAGAGCTTTTTAATGAGGGGCCGGTAGCCGGACACTGCTGTAAATCAAATGACAAAACACAATGGTCTGTGGACATAGTGACAATGTCATTTCTTTTTCATTCATAGACTTGTTCAGCTTCATTTTGATGTTTTATCTTATCTTCAATTATCTTAGATTTTTGTTCTATTGTTAAAATATTATCAGTAAGCTGAATTTTATACTCGTTGCACTGTGCACAGGTATCCTATTTCAGATTCTTAACTATCAACCCTGCATCGTTCAAATATTTTTTATACAGTGTTCGACTAACTGGCTTTTCTACACTTATTTTGTATTTATCATAAGCTCATTACAATGTAAAGTGACTTACTAAGTACTTTTTGAGGTCTCCTTCCTACAATAATGACACTAGGGAGTCTATTAAAATGATAAATCAATAAATTAATATCATACTGAGAGCCTTTGTTTCCATGCGGTGCACAACCTCTTTTACCTGGAGAGCATCGTTTTGCAGGTGAATTCAGCATTTAAGTACAAATAATTCTCAAAAACTTAATATTTTCACGTACACATATTAACTCATCATCTTTTGGTACATAATATTGATGTATTTTCAATTGGTTTTTGTTTTTCTATTGTATCTCTTCTTTTTCTACAATTTATCTTAGGACAACATGTAATACGTTTAGACATCTAAGCGGTTTGTCTATTAAAACTACCCATTAACCAATACAAGTTACACAATTAATCATGTAAATCATCTCCTATTTTACTTATACACTTGGCTTTACAATCTAGAAGTATTTTAGATGATGTAGGTTTGACTGTTTTCCCTGTATTAGTCGTATATTCCAAACCAGTATTTCTTTTTTGATTTCGATAAATTCTAAATTGTCTAGTATCACCTTTCAGGCTTACTCTAGACTTTCTCTTATTATGATTATTTGGATTTAGATGTACTTCAAGACTATTAACTAATGATTCAGCTGTGCCAGTAAATAACACTTAGATTGCCATCAATTTCATCATCCTATTTATATTAAATAACAAGTATTAAATTAAAATATTTAATCAAAATTGCATATATAATATACAATATGTTATATGTATACCTGTTCCATAGGTATGAGATTGTCTAAAGATGACACAGGTATTCCCAAAATTACACTTGATTTGCCATAAATGTCATCATGATTCACCTATTTTTAGGTAAAAGAAAAAAAATGTTACATTCATTTTAATATAAATGTTTTACTAACAATATATTTACCTGTTTCGTGTTGTCTATGATGTCAAAAACATTGTCTCAAGTTATTATTTTCCACAATAATTTGATTATTATTTTAGGTGTCATCGCTGAATTTGAGTGTGTAGTTGATGTTGTTTAATGTAATACGAGATTCTATTCTATTATTATTTTCAGCACACTAGTTACATTACCCTGTTAACACAAATACAAAATACATTACTTTATTACTAGATTTATTAAATTTAATTCACTCTATAAAAAAATGTATACATTGAGGTAGGTATATGATAAATGAACTGCTCAAAAAATTACTTTAATATAATGTTTTTCATTCGTAAACATGTCATCATTGACATCATTAAATGGATAACCATTGTCTGATAGCCCATACAATGGATCTGATTTATTTACCCATTCCTAAGAAAAAAAATTACTTATATTATTTATTAATTCGTAATATTAGTTAAATAAATTAAATTAAAATGTTAAGTACTACCTACTTAAGGTTTGTGAAAGTGGTAGGGTTTGGTATGATAGGCTTCTTGACACGTGTGGCTTCTCCGGGTTCTCCCATGCCCAGTCGAGGGATTATGTAAATATTTGGTGGTCGAGTTAGTTTTAAGTATTCCAGTCAAGAGTTACCTAAAGTTTAGAAACTTTTTTCACAAATACATGCTTAAAACTTAAATGACAGTGAGTGACTAGAGACTTAGAACATTTACACAAGACAAATTAGTTCAATAGAATTAATTATATTGAACAGAGTTACTGAGTACATGCTGCACTATGTATAAATTATATAAAATTAAGAGACTTGTTCAATTGTACATTATGTCAGTTTACACATCATCTTGTTCTACACTACCTACATCGTCTTCATCATCTTCTGAAAACCCTGTAAAAAAGTGAGTCATGAAATAACTAGTTTATTAAGTATGTTTAGTGTAGTAAAATACCATCAGCTTCATCTAGATCGTCTTCACCTTCAGCAAATTCTTCTTCATTACATTCTTCATCTAGGTCTTCCTCGCCCTTTTTCTTCTTTTTTCATTTTTTTCACTTCTTCTGATTTTTCCTATAATTTACTACACAGTGATTAGTTATTTTACAAATGCTTTACAAAACAAGTCACAGATAAATATCATAATGTTTACAGGTATGATACCTGTAATAAACAACTGTTGGGCCGAAGATACCTAGTTTTAAAACATTAACAAAGGCACTAGAAGAAATGTTGGAAAGAAGAAATGATTACGTAAAATTGGATTCCAAACAAATTGTGAACAACATGTGTTATTATATGGATGGTAAATTTTTACAAAATGGCTGTTTTTGATGAAGAACTAGCCAATCAAAATCAAACTACAACTGAAAATACAAAGGAAGCAGTGAAATATGAAATCCTAAACCTTAAGAAAAATAGGACAGAAACATACAACTTGTATACAGCTCAAAGACATATTATGGTAATAATTGTGAAAAATGTATTTTAGACTTTAAAAAAAATTTTAAAATAGCAATACATATCATAAATAAAAAATTGTAAAAAAATGTATATTTTATATGATTTATTTCAGAAACTTAAATAATTAACATAATTGTAGGTACCTATTAACTATTAATTAATTTAGTTTGTTATAAATCTTAAATGCTGTCATTCATAACATTTTTTATTTCAGAGTGTTTTATACTGATTTTTTTTATATTACTATTTGTGGTTTTTATATTGTGTACCTATATGTATGTAATTACTTGAAATAGTTAGGTATAATAAATAATAACTATAATTCATTATTTCAATAATTTTAAAAATATGTGGAAGTTGGTGATTCTAATTTCATGTATGATTGGTGTAGGAACTTATATTTAACATTTTTTTATTCATCATTAGGAATGCACACACCTCTTTCACAACATATTTTTGTGTAATAATTTACTCATATAGTTTGTAAGCAATTATGTATGTCATTTTTTACCTGATACTCTCGTGTAGGAACTTACTATTCATAATAAAATTCCCCCCCCCCCCCCTCCCCCCATATCTTGGCTGCCTATGTTATCAAACATTCCACTTCTGCTATAAAGATGCTGCAAGAATCATTGAAAGAAAAAGGGACAAAATTCAAAAACAACCGGCAGTCTCTACTAATGAATAATACAATACCTACCAACTCAATATCCTCCAAGTCCATAGTAACAAATTATAAAATCTCGAAGCCCTCTTGGTTCCTATAAAAGTTGAAGACTGTAGAAGACCCCCTGCAAGTCTAAGCCAAAAAGATTAACCCACCAGTTACAACTCAACTGTAAAAACAATTTTTACAGTTAAGTGTTACTCTACTTTGAGAGTTACGATCAATGGTCTATCATTATTCATTATGAATACCTATATTAATTATATCAAGGTTATCTTTAGAGCATAATATCACAGAATGGTAATTGGAAAAAATAAGCCCATCGGTACTAGGAAAAAAAATCTAGAGAAAAATTAACCAAGATACTTTTTCTTGTATTAGTACTTGGTATTTTAGTGTGTATCGTATACAATAATTGTACATATTATATATTTGCTATCTACCATAATATTTATCATAACTCATATTATAGTAATGATATAGGTATAACGAGACTATTATTGCCAGTCTGTTGGCTTACATCATATTTGTTTTCAAATTTTATATTTTTTTGCAGTTCAAAAGCAAGTTTGCATTTAAAAATGGAATTAATTCATTCTAAGAAAAATACCTTCAGGTTGCATAGATATATCTATGAGATTTATGTTCAATTTCCACAAAGAATGTTCTTATTTTATTTGTTAACTCACCCAACATATATTCATAGGCATAACTAGAATTTAAGGGGCTAAAGGGGCTAGAGTCTTAGAAAACTCATGTTCAAAATAACTTTGGGGCCCCACACCCCCATCACAGTAAGTGTAACTGTCCTCTAAAATCAAAATTGAAAATAAATAATAAAAGTATAAACTCATTATTAAAAACAAAATGTAAATAATAAAATAAGCATAATATACATTATAGGGGGGCTAAGCCCTCCTAGTTACGTCGATGCTTATATTTTTGCATAATGATCATGTGCATCAAAGGAATGAAAGCTTATTTTTGTGACAAAAATAAAAAACTTAAGCTTAGCTGTAAGTCATAACACAAGAAAAAGTTGTGATTAAAATATTATATGGTATTTTATTGTATTTATAATTTAAGACTTTTTTAATTAATTTACTTTCATGGTGCAGCAACTTTTTCGTCGAGACTTTTTTTGTGATTTCACAGAATAGCTGAAATCTATTTAATATATTAGTAGATATTATGAACCTACCTATAAATCTATGGTAGATGTACGAACAGAGTAATTTAGGTATGAGCCCTAAAGCGGCACAATGTTAAAGGATTTATAGGTGGGTACCAAAGGCATATTTTTGTTTTGTTTTATACGTTACACTCTACAGAACTGAAGTCAATAACAAATATTTTTCAACCAAATGTATACCCTTCTCCCTCCCACCAGTCATATTAAAAAAAACCCAGAAATATTTTCTATAATATTATCTCTTAGATTTCTAAGAGAGGTTTTAATAAATATTAATAATAAAATAGAGTTTTTTTTAAGGTGTTGTAGTGGAGTGTCGGCAAAATACTTGTTGTCCCTATTCTAAAATTCGTAAATACGCCACTATAATATTATAATATGATATCTATCATCTTTGTAGCAATTACACCGGTCAAAAACCGTGATATTCATGTTATGCTTACCTAATAGCACAGTATTAGGTACATTTTCAAGCTTTCAATCATATTATTATAATAGTAGAATATGATCTTACCAGGTACTTACCCTGTTTTAAAATATTAGCTCACAGATAATATTGTAGTGGTCTGACACTGACAACGACAGATAATATCGTTGAAAGGAAGAAGATGAGGTGTACTTTTGAAATGAGCTCAATACCGTTGAATGTTTCATAATGTTTAATTTCAATTTAGACATTTTGAATTTAACTGGCCGTCTGGCCAACTATATTAGTCTGTATTTTAAGAATACTTAAATGTAGTTTATACTAGGTATTTATGTATTTATCGTCTTATCGTTATCAGTCAACAAGTGATAAAAAAAACTTTGAAAAAAATGTTAAATCACTTAAATCAGCTAACGTAAATATTACAAATCACAACAATACAATAATTATTAATTTTATCATGATGGTTCCACGAGTTCACGACTAATGCCCTATTTGTAATTTGTTAATCATTATATTATAATATGCAAACATTTAAAATGTGTTATTTAAGTCTTTAGTCAATTACTATAGATTTTAAATAGCTATTTTCTATGGACAGTTCTAAAGTAAAATGTACATTGATTTGTGGCACCTCAGCAGCTTATTCTGAAACTTTATTATTTGAAGTAGGTAATTTTTTTAGTGAAATAACGTTTTATTTCAAATAAAATTAATTAATTAATATAATGATACTTAATTAACGTTTGGGTACGTTATAATTATAACTAAAAAAAGTACTAATTACAACTGATTAAAAATAGTTCAGAAAAAGTCTAATTTACTTTGTGTCAGAAGCTTTCTTTTTTTTTAAGCTACTTGTATAGTTAGTTTGCTCTATAATTATCAAATTTTGGTATGCACAATCGATGTTAATAAATATTAATTTGTATTACATGATATAGCTAATAGGATGCTAGTTGACTGTTGAATTTACCTGTTTGCTCTTGGATAGACACTAAGTATGCGAGTAGTATACAGCCAAAAAGATAAAAATAAATCTAGATAAGATTTGTAGACTTAGTATAAGTTTTACATCCATTTTTATAACAATACATCTGTTGTTTCAAAATCTATAAATTTAAGAGTCATTTAACCAAATACTTATCCATATCAGATGTTTTATTTAACTAAAAAGACTAATTGGGTATTCAATTATTAGTAAGATTAATATTTTTATCATGCCAGTGTCATAAAATATATTTTTATAAACCATTTATATTTAATTGTAAGGTGGGTAATATATTATTATTACAATAATTATATTGATTAAGATGGGACACACAATGATATAACTTATATGTTATGTAAGTAGGCGATAAACAAGTACGTAGGTATGAGTTTTGTTATAATATAACATGTATGAGTCACAACAAAATATTTTTAAATCATCAAATTCCACTAATGTTTATCAATATTGGCTGTAAACAGAAAAGCTGAGAGCTATTGGGAAAACTAAAATGAATGAGAACTGCCATTCCACCTAAGTTGTGCCCATGGGCCATGGCTAGTATCTTATGAAACTTTTTAGTACTCCTATAGCCCTACCCAAAATGTATATTTACAGTAGAAACTAGAAAATAATAAAAATGTAAAACACTAAGAGTTTAAGACACATTTCACTGAAAATCTAGAACATTAACATAAAAATTGTTGTAATTAGAAAAGTTGTGAATATTAATATTGTAGTTTTGTTTGCTTACAATATATAGAGCGCTGTATATTGGTCTGAATTTGGATATCGAGTGGTTTACATTCAAATATCTCAGATGAAATCTCTACCAATTCTATTAGATGGTGCCAAGCCGCCTAGTGTACATGCACTGAATCGCATTACATTCCTGTAATTCAATTGATCAATAATTCTAACAATTTTTTTATTTAATTTTAACATTAAATCACATTTATTAATTTTTCATATCTAGAACATTGTCAGAATGGAAAGATCTCGTCAAGTACACTTCTTCAATACACGAAACCAGTCCAAATGTGCCACATGTAATTTTAGTATCAAACCTAAATAATTACTATAGGAATGAAGATAGTGATCAAGCCTCAAGACTAGCACACATGCTATGTGCTTGTTTGTGTGATGCCATTTCATATTGTAGTAAAGTACATAATTCTACTTCATATTTAACGGTTTCAACACAAGAGACTGCACTTGAAACACATAAACTATCTGCAATGTATTTCCCGTCAACCACATGGATTAGCAGTGTTGTTGATGATCAAGTTGTTTTTTGCAAGAAAGAACTGTATTTACACCAGCACCGTAGCTGTAAAATAAAGTTTATCAAAGTGAACAATAAACTAAGATGTGATTCTGTAGAAGTATTATACATGTGATGTATTCATTGTTATTTTTTATTATTACTGTTCTTGTTTTAAAGTGTTTTGTATCTTATTTTTTTTTTATAACACAATACATATTATATGTAATCAACATTTAATTAGAAATATTGAAGACAACAATCAACAACTAATAAAAGAAATTAACGATCATAAAAAATAGCATAACCATTTGAAAAACGAGAAAGAGAAACTAAATTCTGAATTTGAAGACAAAAAATGGGTCCAAAGAATGTAAATTAGCAAAAATTAAAATAAGGAACTTAAAGAAGATTATTCGAAAATGCAACTTATGTATCATACGCTTAATAAGAATATCAGGCACACTTATAACGTTGCTCGACAACCACCGATAACTATTGACTGAGAAGAAAATGAAATGTGTTGATAGCGACAACCTAATAAAAATTCAATTGAATCTAATAGAAAAGACAAATTAATTTGAACTCTCGATTGCAAAGTATAAGAAAAAAAAAATGCTAGATACGAAACCTACAGGCAACAAATGATGGATGAATTTACGAGTTTTCTTCACAAAAAATAAATCGACATCGCATAGTTACAAAATGAGTATAACAATTTGAAACATCACATTCAGTCAGTAGAAGACTATATCGAAAATTTAAAATGCCAGGTTATAACATTAGGGTATACATTGAACGAGAAAAATAAAACCATACAACTATACGTTAAAAGCATAACTTAAAACAACAGCAACGTCGCTGTAATGTAACCTTTAAGTGTATTATACTAAATTAGTTAGTCTAAGTCTTAACTTTTAGTGTACCGTTATATAAATTAAAATAATACAGGATAATTTATCCATTCTGATACAGTGTCGGGTATTTGATGAAATGCTAATTTGATTTTCATTTCAGAAATGCTGTCGCATATTTTTGAATGTACATATATTATTTAAGATGTGGAAGGTTTTTTTGTGGCGATGCTCTATGAGAGTTCTATTGCTCTACTCATATTTTTGAATGTACATAGTTTGATGAGACTAAAATTGTCGTCTTAATAAATATCTAGAAGTTGTTTCCCTTCAAAAAATATCTAATGTACAATGTGTATAGCCAGGATTATACATTTTTAAATTAAAAAATATTTTACTTGTCATTAGTTTATTACAGTTGTTCAAATTAAGGGGTATCAATAGTATGAAAAAATGCTATAAAAATGAATTTTCGTATTTCCAATAATATGGCTTATTGAGCGATTTCAGAGTAAAAGTACCTATTATCCATATTGTAGAATAGAAGTTAATCTGTGCTTGTATAGGAACCAATTTTTTGATATTTTAATTAATAAGCCCAAAAAATTAAAATGCAAATGGTAAAATATCGTAATTTTTAGAACTCTATATATTTGACGTTGAAAATAAAATATCAAAAATATACTCATATACAGGCCTAAATAAACTTCTTCACTACAATTTAGAGATCTATGAGATACTAAATGTTATCTTCAAAAAATGCTGTGATCCACATCTAATCGAATCCAATAATTAGAGCACAGGTGATATTTTAACAATTATTCAGACTACTGAATATAATGAGCAATCATAATTGAAAATTAATTTTTTTTAACAGCAAATGGAGGGATTGGTTGATTACATGTTGAAACTTAAATTAGAGAATAAATGTCTGAAAAAATAATAACACTTGAAAACGATCACTATAAATATGCATGTACATACACATTCAATTATGAAATATTAATTGACTTTGTACCATTACTATTAAATTACTTTAAACCCATAAATTGGAATTATTCAATTTATATCAATTATTTTTAGTAATACATTTATTACTTACTAGCTTAACTCCTTTCTCTTTACTGTTAATATTTTGATATAACTTAGAAATGTATATTTATTTTGGTAATTTATCAAATTTATATGTTAATAAAATATCTTATAATAATAAATTTAAGGGATACAATTAAATGTCAATAGTTACTATTTAGTACTTTTATTTGAATATCAGTCATAATAACAGTTCAATATTGAACTCTTACACCTAGCATTCTTATTTTAAAATTGTTTAAGAATTAACATAATAAATCTTACAATTATAATTAATTAATTTAATACCAAGTCAATTATTACACATCCAAGTACTCGGTAGATTATTTTACCATTTATTTGAATAGGGAATTTATTAGTCAAATGACAATAACACATACACTCTTTTTAAAAATTATTCACAAGACAATAATTATTGTTAAAAAATATTAAATTTTAATTTGTTTTGTTACTCACAACGGAAATTGAGTAACTGGTTAAAAATATGGAAACAGGATACAATATGTAATGCTGCTTAAACCATAGGTCACAATTAACCATTTAGTATATAAAACAGTTAATATTGTATTACCTACTTATAAACAGTAATTTTATAGTAAATAAAAACTAAATGCTGAGCTGTAGCAACTGACAATATGTATTAAGAATATTAACAATCCAAATATTATTTTGTACTAGAATTATTTACAACAATAAATTGTCAACTACAATACTGTCTAAACAACAAAACATGGATGACGTGTGTATATATATAAATATTAAATTATAATTAATATTATATTATATTATATACTTATTTTACTTAAATGGGATAAAATATAAATTGACATTACAATTTCTTTTTTAATTTAATGTTAAACATAAACTTAAAACATATTTTCAGTGGCTAAAAAGTTCTTAAAAAATTCTTTAGTTGGAATGAGAAACAAAAAAAAAATTTCCTAAACTTTGCAACACACAGAGAATATAAAATAAAAAAAACCAACACGAGGTACTTATTTGATTATCTTATCATTTAATCAAAATGTTTATACAAAAGTAGCTTAAATTTTAAACGATAATATATAATGTATATATATATATATTTTTTTAGAAGACAAACCTATGAACTAAATTACAATTCAGTATTTCAAATTTTTATTTTGTAAATATTATTTATATTATTTACTTATACTTAAGTAGTATTAAATTTATTAAAAAAAAAAAAGAAATTATTGCATTTTTATCTGTTATAAAAAAAAAACCATTATATAAATAGTCGGTGGTCGAGTTAGTTTTAAGTATTCCAGTCAAGTGTTACCTAAAGTTTAGAAACTTTTTTTTCACAAGTACATGCTCAAAACTTGAATGATAGTGAGTGACTAGAGACTTAGAACATGTACACAAGACAAATTAGTAGGAATATCGTGTTTAAAATTTAAAAAAAAATCCAATTTTGTCTTAGTCACTCAGTAGCAAAAAAGCTTTGTTTTACATATTATGTATAAAAAAAAATTACATTTTGGAATCAAATTCTATCGAACGGAGTTACCGAGTACATGCGGCACTATGTATAAATTATATAAAATTAAGAGACTTGTTCAATTGTACATTATGTCAGTTTACACATCATCTTCTTCTTCTACACCATCTACATCGTCTTCATCATCTTCTGAACAACCTGTAAAAAAGTGAGTCATGAAATAACTAGATCATTAAGTATGTTTAGTGTAGTAACTTACCGTCAGCTTCATCTAGATCGTCTTCACCTTCGGCGAATTCTTCTTCATCATCTTCTTCGCCTTCAGGTTCATCTTCTTCGTCTAGGTCTTCCTCGCCGTTTTCTTCTTTTTTCAATTTTTTCACTTCTTCTGATTTTTCCTATAATTTACCACACAGCGATTAGTTACCTTACTCGCCAACGGGTGACATAACAAGTCACAGACGAATTTAATATCGTGCTATAATCGCATAACGTTTATGGAGAATTTTTAGAATGCGGGCGTTTGGCGGCACACACTACGTCATTCCATTTTGGAAAATGGCGTCGTCGGGAAGAGCGAGCGTTTTCAAAATAATATAACGTGTAAAAGAAGCGGAGGCCACACTTCGTTGGACTACGAGTCTAGACATCGCGCTCGAGCAATAGCAATAATAATATGAGATGAGGTGGATATAAATATATATTTCTATAAAATTAAAACAATAATTCCCCCTGCCGACCCCACCATCACCGGGGCGATGGCCGAGATGGATCAGTAACGCGTCCGTCACCGTGTTCTCGTCGTATCCGTAACGCGCGGAAAACACGCGTCCCAGACGACGGTCGGCCGGTCCCCCCGCCAGAACGCACCACATCACCAACGTCGGCAATCCGTTACGGAAAAGCGGCTGCGGCGGCGCGTTCGAGCGGTGTGCGGTGGGTAGGTACGCGTTTAAAAAAAAAAAAAGGCCGCCGCGGAGTTATTAGAACAATAATAATCGTACGACGCTCTGCAATAATGAGTACTATATTAATAATGTAATAATAACCCAAGACGCGCGTGTGTGTGGCGCGTGTAATTACACGGCGTTTTGTGGTCAATTTCTGGTACGAGAAAACTAATACGGCGGCGACGGCCACTATGGCGGGGGTGCCGCGCCGCTGTTCCGACGCCGACACGACAGACGGGGCGAGCGGGTGGCCGGCGGGTGTGCTTAAGGTTGGTGGGCGGGAGGGGGGTTAAAAAGAGACCGGGTAAACAACCGTCGGTGTGCCGGAAACAAACAACGCAACGCACGGCGTCGCCGAATGTCGGAATACCTACGACAAGCCGAGGTGATTGGTGAAGGTGATAATTGCGATGATGATGATGACGACGAAGGCGGCGGCGGCCTAAGTTTTCAGAACGGTATCGGGACGATAAACCACTCGGCGGACGACGATAAAAATCGAGATATGGATAAATAAATGATTACAATACAACAATCGCGGCTCCAATGAGAAATTCGTGTTCGAAATACTAACGAACGGAAAAATTTAGAGTGGCCGCTAGTGAGAAACACTCGAGCGCGGTACCGTCAAAGAAGGACGCGATTAAAAAAAAAACGCACGCACGCATATACGACGGTATAAGACGGGGGTTAAAAATGGCGGGCATGTGGTGCGTTTTGTAATCGCGGCGGCGGCGGCGGCGGTCGCCGGTAACCGGCAACGCGCGGTGACGGTTGGCCCGCGCGGTATTTCGAAAATCGGGGAAAACGCGCGCGTAATGAACGCGCGGGATCAACCGCGTACGCGCGATATCGTTGAATACAAATATCGGTAAACGAGCCCCGATGTCGCCCCGACAAACAATATTGTTGTTGTTGTTGTTGTTGTTGTTATTGTCGTCGGAACGACCGCCATCGGTATTGGAATACAAACCTGGGTACATTATATAACAGAAACAATACGAAACAAATGGAAAAAAAAAATAAAATTGTCGCGACTACTTACGTCTGCTGTTCTTTTGGTGCCCTTAAGGTCGGCCTTGGCGTCCACAACATCGTCGGCGATCTTGTCTACGGCGACGTCGTTCTTGGCTTCTTTCGTGCTCATTTTGGGTGATGGGGGTTTGATGAAATTAAAAAAATTTTTGAAAAAAAAATTTCAAAAAAACGTACTGCTGGACGGGGACTCGCGACGTTCGGAGAAATCGACGGGAATAACGCACCGGTGCGGAGTGCGTGTGCTTGTTGCGGACAGAAAACCTAGTCACACGGACTTGCGGACGGAAATAATCGTGAAAACGAATAAAAACCGAATGTTATGCACGCGGGTCGGCACGGGAAGCGAACAGAGCACACGGACGATCGGACAAACGCACAGCGAATACGGCCCAAGCGAGCGGCGTTCTTTGTTTGTGAAGATGGCGCGTGCTGGTGGGGCCGGACGTCGCTGATTTTCCAAAGTCCGTTTTCACCGGTCGCCGGCCGTTTAAAACCCCGCAGAAGGTTGCTAAATTTTTCGTACATTTTTCTCGACGGATCGGTGCCTTTTTTTCGCTTTTAAACGGCCCACGGACGAA